ATTACTAGCTAGACAAGAGAAAACAAAATGTAAGCAAATAATTGTTGCTTCAGAGAACTGTTAGAATAGTATCATTTCTGAAGTCTCTGGATTTATTAAATTTATGTTACCATTCTATAAAGTTTTAAACAGTCATGTCTAAACTATTGGTTTAATTGCTTTAATTACTTTTAATCAACATTTAGTTGATTTTATAATGGTGGTGATTGTAGTTTATCAGTGATAGCAGTTACTATAATACCACATCTTGAATTTATGGCTTTTTTCCTAATGGAATTAATGGTATGCTGTTCTTATAAAAGTTGGAAGTGATTCAGTAACCTCATTGGTTAAGGAACTAGAACTGCCACATAAATATAATTGCTTCTTTGTAGCGTAACACCTTTGCTTTGCTGGAACTTCAGGTACCTATCATAGTCATAAGTCAGTGGATCCTTGTAATGTATGCTAAAATATTAGGGGTTTTTAATAGAGAAATTTATTAAAACCTCAGGGTTGAACAAGATTTTCATTAAAAAAAAAGATGTTAGCTATATCCAATATCAACTTCTGAATAACCTTTTCCCTCCTGGTAGTAAGGTACAGTCAGTCATTCATCATCTTACATCCTTTTTGTCTGAAATAAAGATTGTTTATTTCTAGCTTCTATGGTTTTATTTTTGCTCAACTGAAGTTAGAACTTTTATTTTGTAAATCATTTTGCATCATTGCTAATGGAAACTCTACTTGATGGGGGCCCATTTACCTGATGTTAATTAGCAACGATACCTAGGAGAAGAAAAAAAATGGACATTCTTAAGATAAAATAAATGTCCAAAGCCTGAATATGTGGTTTTTTTCAGGATGAAAACATATGTTTCTTTTTTGATTCATGATAGCCACTGATCCCTGATATTAATCAGAAGTGATTGAACTTTTATCTTCGTTTAACAATTTCTTGGTCCATACAGTATAAATGCACAAAGCTTTTTTACCATAAGGAACATACCATAAGTGGCTCAAATCTGAAAGAATATGATATGATATTCCCTCTTCTCTACAGATATGTAAAAAAAATTATCTTCATAGTAAATGAAAAATTTAATTAAGTTACTGTGTGAAATGGTCTTTTTTTCTATTCCAAGAAATCTGGTCGGTTGGAGCTTACGATTGTTGGAGTAATTATTATTATATATACAGCTGTCAGTTGGTTAGCTAATGTTGGCCTTATTTGCATCAAGTTCTTCCCAAGAATCTAGGATGTCATAATGTATCCATGCAGTATTTGTGCAAATCCAAGCATTATGGCCTTTTGTAATTGACAGATTTTCTAAGTGGCCATCCAAGACTTTTTCCTTGGATAACTACTAGGATCATCATGGCCAGTTTATTATTATTTTGATGGTTGATCACATAGCCAGATGTTTAGAGTGGATTTGACATTTCTACCTATCTATGGAGTCCTTTTCAAGGCACTGGGATAGGCAAATGTTGATGTTCAATGGTATTAAAAATATCACCGGATGGAAGCTGTTCCGAATCAACCTGCCTTTTGCAATTGACCAAAGGGAATTTTGCTGGGGCCAATGGTATTCAAGTGGTTTTGAACATGTCTTGGGACTGCACACAGGGCACCTATTACTATTGGTACTATCTTTATTTTACTTTGCCACAGTCATTTAACTTCTGCTTGCAAATGTTTGTATTTTGAGGTGGGGTTTTTTTTTTTTTTTTGGAGTGGGAATTCATGCAACCCGCCTTCTACACTGATCTCAGGCAATATTACTTTTATTTCAGATCCATTATGTTCGTCTTAGGAATTATACAATTTGGAAAATTATATGGGTTCCATGGGGCAGGTGCTCCCAAAGAATTTACAAAATGCTAACACATTCCTAACGGGGCTTTGTAATTCATAGATGACCACTTGGAAGAAGTACAATTACAAGTGAAACAGGCTGAGGTAGAAGGGCTTGTTTATCTGTCAAACCCAACTGAGGGATACCAAACTGACTTCAACATTCTACTGTTGACGGATTTGACCACTGTTCTACTGTTGAAGGATTTGAGGTCATCTGCTCTACATCTTTTCATATGTAATTAATGCTCCTAGGGTATAATTTTTCCTTTGGAGGTTGCTTGATGCAATATGATGTTTGAACAATGGTTTTTATAATCAAAACTATCACTTTTTCTGATTTATTTGGAACAAAAGACTCTGAATGTTGGAATGGGCATTGCAAGTTTAAAATAATTCTATATGTCCTTATATATGGCACATTAAAATAGTTAATAACTTATGTGTTCTTTTATACTGTATTAGATTATTATTCCTACTTTTTAAATGATACTAGAAACTTAATATGTGATCACTTAATATATGATCTTTCATAGGGTTATGTGGAATTAAACCATAATTTAGGCAATGCTCATACATAAGATTGATTCTGTACAAAACATTGTTATAGTTGATCAGCTTTTACTTGATCACCGACTTGCTTTAGCAGATACTTTTCTTATGGGCAAATTAGAAATTAAGTTTAAAATTAACTTCCAAAAACAGTTGAAGGGCTAAAACTGGCTTGGAAATTGACTAGAGCAGGGGTCCCCAGTCCCCAGGTTGTGGATCGCTACTAGCCATGGCTTGTTGGGAACCAGGCCATGGAAGTGGCAGACAAGCGTGCAAAGCTTCATTTATGCATGCGTGGGATCTAGGTTGCATACATGAAACCATCCCATCTCTCACTACCAGTCCGTGGAGGCAGAAAGGTTGGAGACCACTTGTCTAGAGTTTATTTTAGATCATAATTTCTGGTTTTCACATAAAGGCAAGCCATAAATCTGCTAAAGAAAATCTAAATTCCAATATATTTCTGTTTCCAACTGTACAGGAAAAATATGTGAGAAGCTGAGCATATAGTACAGGCACATACCTGTTACATAAAAATATAAAAAATGCAGAGAATAATGCATAAATTGCGTGTTCCCATCAGAAGAAGGTGTATAAGTATGCATGTGCATGTATTCAGCCTGTTTCTTTGCTTGGTCTTTTTGTTCCCTTTTAGGAGAATCATGCTGTGACAAAAGTGACAAAAAGCTATCTTGCAGATATTGTGTATGGACAGTGAACTGAAAAGTTTACAAAGCAGGCAGAAATTAACAAATAGCAAGCAACAAATAACAATTTCAAGATTTCTTTCCTATAATTCATCAAAATGGATACTGTCCTTGTCTCTCAGGAGTTGAATTTGTATTTATTTCTATATGGGATCATTCTTGGCAAGTACAGTAGAGAATTCCGTATCCTGATTGTTCCAGGAGCTTTACTTTAAAATCAGTCCTGAACCTCTCAGCAATCATTAAGTATTCAGAGTGGGAAAAGGGAAGGAAACATAAGACTTGTTCTCAATCCTCCATAGAGGGAAGAAGCAGTATTGTCCTAGCAGATTCCTGCTCTTTTAAAATTTAAGCTCTATGTTCACCCTTGATGTTTTGATATTTCTCCAAGGGAGAATCATTAAAATGGCTGATTATGAACATGGCATCTTCGTACAAGTTTCATTATAAGCTTCCACACTTCAAGAGCATTTTGTATGTGGCCTTTAAATCTGTTTCCCAATTTTGAATAGCTTGTACAGTAGCAAACTAAAAGAAAATGCTTTCTTTGTGGACAATTAAGTCAAGAAGAATTCTTGCCAAGAACACATTGCATTCAAAGCATTAGTCCAGATTTGAATTTTGTTTAGAACTAAGTGAAGCAATTGAATGAGTTTGTCACTCCTTTTAGCCTCTTCCTTCATAGTGTCTCTCTAAACCTGGATATCCTAAAATATTGATTATAATTTATTTTTGTTTTGTATATTTTCTTCCACCCACACCTGTCATTAATGGAAGAAGAGTAAGCTAATTCTGCATTACGGTCTAATTAGTAATATTTAAATAGCAAAAAAAAGCACTCCACCCTCTTTTCAGTGTTTTTTTTAAATTTGTGATTCATGTTTTTGCTCTTTTAGATTGTCACTCTTAAGTCTGATTTCATAGAAGCACATACAAAGCTCAGTATTCTATGAAGTTACACTGTATTGATATTTCTCTGGTGTTTTGTCCAAATGAGAAAAAAATATATACTACTTTGTTACTTCATGAAACTTTTGTAAGTTAAATGTTAATATGACAATAGGAAATAATTACTAAATTGACACAACTAATTGACTTTTTAAAATAAATGAATTTTTTTAAAATAAAAATCTGTTAGGCCTGCTTGCTGTCCCTATCAGCAGCTCCTTAAAATCAGTTGTACCATTTCCTAGACTCATATAGAAACGGCTGTCCCTGGGTGGTACAGGATTGAATTAAAGTTATGGTGACAAGGCAACAACATCCAGACACACATTTTCTGGGGACTTTATGTTTTATTTGGCATATAATGAGAATATGATAAAAGAGAACTGGGGGCTGCAGAGCTACCATACGTGTCCCAGAAAAGACACATCTTCTTTAAGGAGCCATTGATAGGTACACTGGGCATAAAACACGAGATCCAAGGGAATGTTTTGCTTTAGAACTCAATACTATTGGATCCTATTTATTTATTGCTCTTTCATAGCATCTAGCACCTCTCCATACATGGTTTTATTTCAGTGTGGCAATAAACATATTAATATGTACATTTGTCCTTATTTTTGTGGTTTTCCGTATATAAGTATATTGGATGAAAGTTAGACTAGATCTCTTGTATGTTTGAATTAGTTATGCAATTGCTGTCCTTTCCCATAAATGACCAAAGCATGAAATTTACCCTTAGGAATCCTATGGGGTTGTAGGGTGGAAGGAAGTTTGTTCTACCGACAATTACTGCTCTGTCAACAAATACATATATTTATTAGGCAACCGATGTCCTGTTGGGTCATCATCTCACAGATATTTCCTTACCTAAACACAAACAGAGTGACCATGAGTGAGCAAAGGGTAATGGAAGATTTCTGACTATCTGCTGGCTTCTTTATTGAATTTCCTTGTAGGAAGCTGGTAAGTGGCATTGGGAATCTTCCTCTCTCCTCCCTCCCTCCCTTGAATTCTTGCTGGTTTCCCCATTTATTTTGCTTGTGGGAAGCTTGTGCAAGGAGAAAGTCAGTGGGGAAGCCAGCAGGAAATTACAAATCCAAGGCCAGTAGGCAGTCAAATGGCTGCTGCTGGGGGGGGGGAGGAAGTGAGGGAATGATGGCTTTTCTAGTATCAAAAAAGTGACATTTAAAGAACCTGGCTGAAGGGGATAGTCAGATGGGAGGTTTCATAATTGTTCTGTATCTCTAATGTGATGAAAAATTAGACATGATACTGGTATAAAAAATTTTCTCTACTGTATTTCACAGGAGAACAGAACTTCCTTTAACACTGTCAGACAAGAAAATGAATTTCTATTTCATATTTCCATATGCCCATATGAGCTAAGCAGGATATTAAGTTTATTAGACTTAATAGACAGAGATCTATAGATAGATCTGTGATTGTGCAGAATTCTAACTAGGCTATAAGATTACCTGTCATTAAACATTTCAGAATTGCTTGTCACATCCCAAGAGATTGTGGTAAAATGCAGTGATAGCAAATAAAACAAAAATTTATTTACATTAAGTAGAGTTGCAGTATAGATAGCATTGCTTTTTCATAATTTGGGTTGTAAACAAAAGCAAAAGCTTTGGAATCCATTGAAAAATTATCTGAAGTATAACGTTTTTCTGACAGTAGAATGCCTATATACAGTACTTGAAATTGCTTATAAGTAAAATTTGAGTGTCTTTTTCTATTAAGGCAATCTTAAATATGTTCTTCTGATGAATTTGCAACTTCCTGGTGGCTTTTCCACTGACTTTAGTTACGGGTATTTTTATAGGAGTTCTTGGCTAAATCCAGTCTTGTCAATCTACTAAAAATACTAATGAACACTAATTACAATAGTAACCGTGCAGTAAAGTTCTTGAAGAAAAGATAAATCTGATTGGTACAAATACAGTAAAGGAGAATAGTGTTAATTTCATATTATTCTTCATTAAAATGGTATGAACTTGTGTACTTGTGCCTTCTATCTAGAAATCTAATAAATTTGGTTTTTTAACTGATCTTTTGGCATTTTGGTACCAAAGAGTAGCTAAAAGCATATTAACTGTCTTTTTTAAAATAAATGTATTAATGTCTTTTTTAAAAAAGCTTTGTTTCCCGTCAACACTGATAAACAACAGAAAAGGAAATTTAAAACATGCCCTTTATGCCCTGTACTTTATAATTGGATTACATTGGGCTGGCCTAAATGTCCCATTTAACTCTTCCTCCAAAAGCTTCAACTTAAGTATCAGTGGGAAAAAGAATGAATACAACATTAATCCTGTTATTGTTTAATTTCTACTGGATGCTGACCTTCCATCATCATATCCCAAAAAGGCAGTGATGGTAAAATTAACTATGCATTTACTGGCAGTTAAGTAACTCTTTGCAGGAAGCAAGTGAGCAAACATTGTGATCATCTTTTATTTAGTTTATGCTTTTTTGTGGCAAGTTATTATGATCCAATCTGTGTCCGCTCCCTTCTCACCAAATTAGCGAATGTAGCACTGAATATAAACAGAACTGTATCAAATAATGTGTTGTCCTGGTTACCAGCCCTAACCAACACTGCCTTGTTACACATGCTGATGCAAGACTATCATAGCCAAAGTGGTTTAGTAAACTTGGGAAGAGAAGGTTTGTTACAGTGTTTTGACTTTGCTTGTGCAATAAAGTGCCTATTTTGGATCTATTTTCATATAAGTATCACTGGAAATCCCTACCAATAGCATTAAGACCAGACCACAGTAATTCATTCCCTTGATGACCCAACTAGCTAGGCTTTTGCTGCCAACAACATTACAAAATTGGCCTCATTTGCCCAAATATGTTCAGGTAAACTGTATAGCAATAGCAATAGCACTTAGACTTACATACCGCTTCACAGTGCTTTACAGTCCTCTCTCAGCGGTTTACAGAGTCAGCATATTATCCCCAATAATCTGGATCCTCATTTTACCAATCTCGGAAGGCTGGAAGACTGAGTCAACCTTGAACCAGTTAGGATTGAACTGCTGGCAGTCAGCAGAATTAGCCTGCAATACTGCATTGTAACCACTGCGCCACCATGACTCTTCAGTAATCAGTTCAGATTATCAAATAGATTCCCAATGCTGCTGACAGTCATGGGATATCAATGTTTTTGAGAACTGTAGGATTAACTAGATGGTTTGAAAAATTTACTAAGGCTATGCAGTGACTTAATTTGATCTTATTCATTCCCAACATAGAAAACTTAATGTTTTTTATCCTTAATCTGTTTCAGTAATAGTTATGCCCGTGTGCGAGCTGTGGTGATGACCCGTGATGACTCAAGTGGTGGATGGTTACCACTTGCAGGGGGTGGACTAAGCTGCGTCACCATTTTCAAAGTCATTCACCAAGAAGAAAGTGGCTGTGCTGATTTTCTTATACACGGGGAACGTCTCAGGGATAAAACGGTAAAAATAATTATGCCTGTTTTGTGCCATTAATTGTAAGTCAAAAGTAACTCCATAAGAAACAGATTGGAACACCCTGTGTGTATGTTCTTTTAATCTTTGTCTCTTTGTGTATGTTTGTATGTGCGTGCACATGCAAACACACACAGGTATATGTGCACATTTATATATACACCTAAACACATTTTAGTAAATGGTTTTAAATTTCAAAGTTCATAACATTTTCTTATCAGTTGGAAAGTACTGTTGGATTGCATTAAATGTGGTTAAAGTAACTCCATAAGAAACAGTTTGGAACACTCTATTGTTTATAAGTGTGTGTGTGTTCGTTTACTCTTTCTCTCTTTGTATGTGTTTGTATGTGCGTGCACATGCAAACACACACAGGCATATGTGCACATTTATATACACACCTAAACACATTTTAGTAAATGGTTTTAAATTTCAAAGTTCATAACATTTTCTGATCATTTGGAAAGTACTTTGGATTGCATTAAATGTAGTTAATTGAAAAAGCCATTAAAATATTTCTATTTCTTGCATTGGAGATACCTAAAAATGGTTTAAAGTGACTTGTAATAATTATCACAATAAATCTATGAAATACATCATAAGATTGCGAAATTTGAAAGAGATGTATTGTTAGTACTGTTAAATTTATTGCAGTGTTAAATGTTAAGCCTGTGATTCCCCTGTGTTGGCTGGGGAATTCTGGGAGTTGAGATCCATACGTCTTAAAATGGCCAAGTTTGAAAATCACTATTNTTTTACACTAATCCATTTCAGGATAAGCATCATTATAGAAACCATAGAAAAAGTGTAAGAAATAGTAAGCAAATAAATTGGAAGCAGAGCTAAAATAAGATAAAATCTAATTAAATCTAGCACACATTATATTATTCACTGTGCCTGTACATATTTTTCTGTTTCTGCTTCATGTACCAATTCATACATTGCCTTTAGCTCTTTAAATTTCATGTCTCTTTTTGAGGATCTGTGTCTTTTCTCTTTATCTTTCCTTCATAGATAGATTGACTTTGTAATATGCTTCATACTCTCTGTCTAACCAAAATATCTCAGTGTGCTTCTTACATACTAGTTACTTTTGTATTTAGTCTACATTCATTGAAACCCCATTCATTCCTGACCTTATCTCTTATTTTACCATACATATCCTTTTTCAGTTCATAAAGTAAATTACATTTCAATTCACTGTGCTGTTTCTCCTGATGTATCCAGCCTCATTTCCATGGAACACAGTGGTCAGAATTGTGCCCTTACACATACATTTAAATTGCTTCCTGTAAGTATAGATTCTTTACAATAGATCGGGTAATAGCAATTACTTTTTTTACCAGTATTTAACAGAATAACATAGTTTTCCATCTTTAAAAAACTTTCTACCAAAGTATACAAATTTTTCTATTTGCTCTTTTTTGTTGTCATTATCCTCATTCATAATTTTATCTGATATCACTGCAATCATTTGGGTTCCTAGCCAAGAGTATTGCATCATTTGCAGCCATTTTCCTGCCCTTGACTAATTCACTTCTAGAATTATTGCAAGTATTCCATATATGTTCATAATAAACGCATTAACAACCAAAGATATATCACACATCCTTGCTTTCTCTGTGTTGAATCATTTCCTTATTTCCATGCATGCTTAACTTCCATCATATACTATTCTTATTATGTGCAGTAACCAACCTTAAATTCCATATTTGTAGAAAATTTCTGAAATACATTTACAAACTTCATTATATACTTTCTTTAAATTAATAAATGTTTATATGTTTTTGCTTTTATTCATTTCTCAGTTACTTAGTGAAAAACAAAAATCTTCACTGCATACACATTATCTTTCAAAATAATATCCTGTTACCTGTTCAGTGTCACTCTGGCAAGTGGACAGCTGTATAAATTAGTTAAATAAATAATAAAGTTGCATTATACGTCACAAATTTAACTTATTGTCATATCTTGGACCACTGACTTCATTATCTTTTTCTTAGACATTAACAATATAAATAGTGCTCTTTTAAATTCCAGTTTTCTACATAGCACTATCATTCCCATATAGAATCTTTCATCATTCCCTCACTTTAGTTTTGTTCCAAATTATTTTGTAATTTAGCAGTTCATTGGAAATCTAACAGATATGTCACCATCATACTCACACTATTATTAGACTCTGCAATCTAAAAACTATCTCACAAGTTACTGTTGCTGTCAACTCACAATTAGGAGGTAGATGATGTGTACTGACACACTCAAGATACATTATTATATAAAGTTGTGGGTGTTTTGGATTGTTTTATTGAACAAAGCATCAAGAACAAAAAATCCAAACAAACCAAAAGGGAAAATAGATATGCAAAAAGAAATATGTGTTTTTGTGTATGTGTGTGTCTGTCTGTCTGTCTGTCTGTTTCTCTCTCTGTGTGTGTGTGTGTACATACACACATATACATACACATACATACACTGTATGTATTATCAGCATTGAAATCTTAAAAGTTGAGATAATGTCACTCTTAAGAATGTAAATTGTGAAAAAGATTGCAACTAACAAAAATCTTTTTTTCAGTGAAAATAGACTTTGTGCCAGAAAAATGAAATGATAAATTGCAGGAAATCAGCAAACTAAATGGGTTATTAGTTGCCTCTTTAGTATAGAATTGTTCATTAGTATAATTCAGATATCCATTTCTTGCACATTATCATACTTATAGGTGCAGCTGGATATAACTATTCACTGAATTGCTAATAAATCAAGAGCTCTTTAAACATAGCTCTAGCTTGATGAAAGTTACATTTACATAAGATTAGGGTTACAACTCAGCCAGAAGGGCAGGGACCAAGACCTGGGATTGGCACATGGAAACTCCCTAGATGGATTATTTTCTTTAAATGTTACCTATAGCCATACAAGAGGCATCTCCCACATAACTGGGAAACCATCAGCCTGGCACATAGTGATCCATGTAATATCTGCCCTGAGTGCCTATTTTGCCATTTAAATTAAATGTAGAGCTTGTGAAACTGCTTTATTCATACTCTCAACAGAGCAGCTGCTAAATAATATAGTCTTTGAATGTATAAAGATTTAGTCATAATCATTAGTGTTAAAAATCTGTTCATTTGCTATTTAAATGGCTGCTGATTCTTAAAAATCATATATGTATGAAGTGGTCTGTAGATGCAGTGAAGCAGGATTGGTTTGTAAGAATATAAAGCTGTTGATATAGAGAGTAGGGTTGCAAATCAGATTCAGGTCCTTTTCTTACATTTCACTTTTTTTGATGCTTACTTTTCTGCCCTTTTGTAACAACTAACAATCCAAGGGTTAGTTAGGGTTTCTTAGGTTTTAAGAAATCTGTTCTATGGTTGCCCTTTACTGTTTTCCATAAAGTTGCCATCAGCAAAAAGGAGAAATGCAATTGATAAGAATTTATATTTGAATATCTTCAAAAGTGTCGTTTTAGAACCTGGAGCAAATTATTCGAGATAAATGAGGTTGGTAAAGTTTAGCGTGGAAATAGTGAAATATTTGCTTATAATAAGCTAAATCATGAAGAATGAGAGTATTTAGTATGGATGAGAGAGTTTCAGTGTATTGTCCAATTCTGTATGATAGTATACACACATACGCTCTTGAAATTGATGAATCTGCTTATTGTGCTTCTTCCTCTTTTCATCTTCTGTCTGAAATTTTTACCACGTTGTACCCCTGGCTTTCCAACTGAGCAATGCCCTCAGTCCTGGTGTTCCAATATAGTCAAAAAATGGCAATGCTGCTACCATCTTTTATTGACCCTTTTATGACCTGAAGAAACAAGGAGATCTGGATTTCAAATATTTCTTTTCTTTTCTCTGCAAACGTATTACCTTAGCTATCAAGTCAGAAAGCAGAAAAAGCAAAGAAGAGAAGCTAGTATCAGAAAGCAGACCATAGGAGAATGGAAGAAGGGGAGATCTGGCGAAGCAGTTTGCTTGTTTTTCAGTGTGGGGCAAGTGTTTTGTTACTTCTTCTGTACCTAGAGTGAGCATGCAGTTCAGGGAAATAAGGGCCATTTGGTGTTCCCCAAACGATGTTGCCACTGTTGGCTAGTTGTGGAAGAAGGAAAAAGTGATAGAATTGGAAAATCACTCTCTGGTACTCCTGTGTGTGTCTTTACCCATTATTGAAGATGTACAAATGGAGAAGATGGCAACAATAATCATTCTCTTATCTGAAAATATATTGGCATGTATATGTTTGGCATGGACTCAAAGGTTCTGAGCAACTAGAATGTACTTCTTATGATTTCTCACCATTTTTAACAAGTGCAATTTTTTTCTTTGGGTGTAATATATCAACAGTACACCATTATAAGAAAAGTTTTGTAAAAGCTGCTATTGAAACAGTAATTAAGTTTGAGCTGGCAAAAAGTCTTGCTGTCAGTAAGCCCACTGTCTTGCCGTTGCTGCTGTTCCTTTTGCAATGTGTTCTTGCAATGTATATATATACAGAATAATAAGGTAATACAACAGTGTGTCAAAGGATTAGCACTGAGATCCAGAGCCAATGAGAGAAAGAAAGATTCAGAGCAAGCTGATTTGTTTCGGGGAGGGGGGGAGCTGTCATAAACCACTAATTATAGGTCAGACTTCAAAAGTCATCAGGTAGCCCTGCCTTTGCTTTTCTTAGGAGTTGTCCTGTCATTCAGTGTGGATGGACCGGTTTCCATACTTTTATGTTATCCTACTTCTACTCCTCAGCCCTGAAAAGCCTCTTTGACTGGTTAACTCAGCCCCTCCAGATACATCAAACTTGCTATCTCAGAATTCCTGGCTATCCTGGTCACTCGGATCAGGGGTTTAATTCAAGTGCTCAAAACTATGAGCTGAGGTGGTAAAGTGGAGTGCGTTTAAAACAGGGGTAGTCAACCTTGGCTCTTTTATGACTCGTGGACTTCAACTCCCAGAATTCCTGAGCCAGCACAGCTGGCTCAGGAATTCTGGGAGTTGAAATCCACAAGTCATAAAAGAGCCAAGGTTGACTACCCCTGGTTTAAAAGGAAGACAACAGGGAGGGATTGTACGTCACTTAATTTTTGAAACTTTAAAACTGGCTTGGCATTACATTATTAAACGTTTTCTTGCTGTAATGCAGTTCCCGAAATTAAGAATAGAACTTAACTGGAAACAGTACATTAGTATGTGCTTTGATGTATACTTGCTGCCTGTCTTGTCTATTTGGGTGGGGTAGCAAGACATTCAGAAAAGCAATGCATTGGAATTTAGGTAGGAAAAGAGAATTCTGTGGGTGTGAGCCCATCACATCTGGAAAGCACAAGATTAGGGAAGTCTTATGTAAGTAAAATCTTTTGAGTTATTTTGCTTTAATTGAGGGTACTTGTGGCAAAATACTAGGTGTACTTTCATGAATGAGAATACTTGCTTGACATGTTTTTGACAAACAATCTGTCCGGTATCTTGAAAGAGATAGCACTGAGGAAATGGGTTTCACTTTGGAATGACAGAGACTATTTCTGGACTTGTTTACCCAGCTTGTTTAGACCTCTGTTGGAATGTAAAGCAGTTTTTTTCCCCTCTCTCTCTCTCTCTCTTCACAAAGCACCCTTGACATAATTGCACACTTCCTCCTTCATTATACTTCCCTTCTGAGATCTGGCTCCAGCCAGTCTAGTTTGAACAATTACCTTCCACTCTAACCTGGACAGGTCTGCTGCTGTTTTAAGCTATGTAAACATAGCCGGATAGTTCCTTTTATATGAAGCATTAAGCAGGCACGCAGGTTTCAGTATTTCTGATTGTCAAATGCTATTGCTTTTAAAGTGATACTTAACTTTGCTTTCCAATTTTATAATGAGTCAGTTTGTTGCCTGTTGCATATCTTATTCTCTGTTACCTTTGTTTAATCAATGTAGAGGCAGCATATTCAGACAATGAAAAAGGCTTTTGAAAACTTGTACCATTAGACCTTCCAGAATAGAAATTTGAGAAGTAATGGCAATTAAAGAAACATTTTTTAAATGTCATTGCTTGGTATACTTCTTCCATAATTTAGAGTTAAATGACTATGGAAATTTAGTACAATAATTTTTAGCAAGGAAAAAGGGAGGCAAAAAACATTGAAAATATTGTGCAAGAGCAGAACAGAAAAATCTGGGTAACCCAGGGCCCAGTTTTTCTTGCCTTAACCTATGTCACAGTTTAGAGCTAACAAAAATCTTTGCATTTCTTTTTGAAAGACAGGATATCAATGAATGAAACTAATAGATTAATCAGGGTTGTTGAAAAACCATCACATTTTTTTCTGTAATTGCTAATCCTGGATTCTATCCACACATTTTGAGGGGTGTTTTTTTTTAATCTAAAATTGAAGAGGACCCAACAGCATTCTGTAGAAAGAAAAGCAGCTTGGGAACAGAACTGTGTGAAACAAAAGCAGCTGATGGAAATTGAGTATGGCCAGGAAATGATTTTGATTTGATTCTGAAATGGTGTTCACTGTGTGCAAAGGCATAAATATAACATCTGTCTGCAGCTTCTTAAAGCAACTACGTCACATGGCAGATCCATAATAAAGAAATCCCCTTTTGTTTGCATAGATACAAAAAGAAGTGACAATAGAAAACCTGTATTTGTTTAAATGAATAGAATACATTCAGATACTGATTTTTTTAAAATTATTTTCTTAGGGGGAAAACCTTTTAAATATATAGCACTAAGAACATTTACAGAGATATTGGAAAACAAAGCCCTATTTAATCAAGGATTTGCTTCCAATAATGCCGAACCAGATGTACATTTAGAACTATTTATGCTACAGATAGTCCTTGACTTAACAATCGTTCATTTAACAGCAGTCTGAAATTACAATGGTTTGAAACCCTGCAAAGACATTGTTTCAGTCTCAAAGAGCTGTCTACCACAGGATGGAGCTGAAATCCTTCTGCAGGCAACTTTCATTCTGCCCACTTAATGACTTGGGAGTTTGTTTAATGGCCACAATTGGGAGTGCTCTGTGGTTGTTGAATGAAGCAGTGATGTGACATTTTGTTTAACTATTACTTCACTCAATGATTGAGATTCTGGTCCCAGATGTGGTCATAAGATGAGGACTACTTGCTTTTCTACTCTGCATTTAATTCAGGAGCTCAAGGCAACATATATAGCTTTCCCTTCCCCTATATTTCCACAGTGAATGGCCCAAATCCATCAAGTAGAATTCTGTTGCTAAGAGCAGACTACAGTCTGGTTCTTTCTGATCCTAGTTCTTAACCTCTATAATACAGTTGGTCTTAGTTACTTAGTCACATCCAAATTAGATGTTTGGACAGCCAGGGAAGAAGGTTAGCAGAAGATAGGTTCATTCATTTGTTCATTCGTTCGTTCAATTTAGACACCACCCAATTCCAGACTGGGTCTGGGTGTCTCACAGTACAGGACAATATAACAAAAACAATCTATATAGAACAGTAAACAAATGGCAGATCCAGTAAATACATAAAACAAGTATCATATCCCTAGCAGTGGCTCCAAACCACCTTAGCCAAAAGTCTAGGAGATGAACCAGGTGTTTAAGGATCTGCAGGACATCATTCAGGCAGGAGCCACCCACATTTCAGGAGGAATCTCATTCCAAAAGGCAGGTACTGTAGACTGAAAAGCAAAATTAGCAGTTTGCCTAGAACCAGTTTGGTCAAGTGCTTAGGGCACCAGTCTAGAAAGAGGGAAGTTCTAGTCCCACCTGAGCCATGAAAGCCAGCTGGGTGACTTTGGGCCAGTCTCCCTCCCTCCCCTCTCCCCCCCTCTCATCCAAACTATCTGACAGGGTAGTTATGGGGAAAATTAGAGGAGGAAGGTATGTGGGATATGTTCGCTGCCTTGAGCTATTTGTGGAAATAATAAAAGCAGAATACAAACTGGCAACCAATGCAGGTTGCAGAGCAGGAATATCACATGGGCATATCAAGCTATCTATTCCAATATTTTATCACTTGTGAAAGCTGTCTCTTTCAAATCCTGTTTACTTGGTTATTTACAAACCTGAATAGTCCAGAATCAGTTCACTTTACAGACTGTTGTGCTTCTGTTCAAGTATAGCCAAACTTGCTGGCAGGGACCAAAAACCAGGGTTATCTTGATGATGGTTCCCATTTATACAGCTTCCTTTTTTCTTTGTGTAAATGTTTCTGTTTTCTGCTTTTGATTTCACATTAATTAAATTTTGGGATAGGTGGGATACGTTATTAAACTGATGGGCATTTGGTGCTAGCTTTTAGAGCTTTGTGATTAAATTTGCATTGTATAGTTTAGTAATTAGGTCTTTTATGCTATGACTTGTTTCCTTTTTTCTGTGAAAAGCTTCCATAGAACAAAAATTGATTAAATACACAAACACACACAAGTCCTTTATAGTAACCTCCTCTTTTAACTTGGTTTCTTCTCAGGTGGTTTTGGAGTGTACATTAAAGAAGCAGCTTATTTACAATAAAGTTACGCCAACTTTTCACCACTGGAAGATTGATGAAAAAAAATTTGGCCTCACATTTCAAAGTCCCGCTGATGCAAGAGCATTTGATAGAGGAATTCGTAGGGCTGTTGAAGATATATCTCAAGGTATGCATTATTCGGAATTGTTTTGTTTAAAAAGCTTACACCTCCCTTTTTTTTTAGTTGTTCATTTCATCTACTCTTACTAGCCTACTTACTGCCAGTTTTAAAGAATGAAAGCCAAAAAGTATCACTGATATATATGTGCACATATGCAAAAGGAAAATGCTTGCTTCAGTCTTGAAGAAAAAAGAGCAGTATGTTTAACAGTAATAAAGTCCAGATCTTATTTGGAAAAAAAAACAAAACCCTGCAACTTTCAGTAGTCATCAAAGTTTTATTTTCCTTCAAAAATACTTTGTTCTCACTGGCCCCTTATACAGAATGGAGCAATGTCTATACTCAGTTTGTAAATAGGCACATGCCGTGGCATTTGTCCTCAAAGTGGGTCTTTTGGGAACAGAGCAATCACCATTCAAAATCAGTGTATTAAAATAGATATATTCCTGTTTTCTAGCAGGATATGGAAAAGGATATGGAAACAAAATATGCCGCTGTCTAAAGTGTTTCTTCACATAATGTGTTTTATTATATCCTGCATTATGATGATATAAATATTCTTTATAAAATTCTGGTGCTATGCTTACTGAGAATTTCTAGAAAACAAATAAACCCAAGTTAAAATTTGATGTTTGTGTCTTTCACCCATAGGTTGCCTGAGTTCACATGATGAAATCGAAGTGCCTGCAGATGGCTTTCCGGTAAGTGTTTTCCAGTCCATTATGTTAATTACATTGGCTGAAATTACAATAACTCTTAATCTAAAAGGGATACTTACATTCATTTTTATCCGTGGGTAGCTAGTTTTGGGACAGTTTTGCCTTGAAACAAGACTGGTGGACATCTTTTATTCTTAGGGACTGCACAACTATTACCTGTCCCCATGAAAGCTGCTAATGAATCAGTGTGGTTTGCAAACACATGAGTGACAGGGTCTACAAGCTAATTATTAACTTTTCTAATCCCTGAAATGATTCATTGACAGAAAAAAGATGCTGAAACTGTGATGGTGGCAACATATTGTTATGGATGTGGGATTTAACAAGGCAAGATTTTCAGATATTGTGTTTTGAATGTTAGGGTTTAGCCCCAAAGCAGCAATGTTTCTACCTCTTAAATGTCTGCAAGAAATTTGTTAAGTGAGTTTTGCCCCATTTTACGACTTTTCATGCCACATTTGTTAAGTGAATTGCCGCAGTTGTTAAATTAGTAACATGGTTGTTATGTGAATCTGGCTTCTCCATTGACTTTGCTTGTCAGAACATCGCAAAGGATGATCATCTGACCTCAGGATACTGTAACTGTCATAAATACGAACCAGTTGTCAAGCATCTGACTGTAATTCATGTGACCGTGGGGATGCTGCAGCGGTCACAAATGTGAAAAATGGTGATAAGTCACTTTTTTCAGTGCCATTGTAACTTTGAACGGTCACTAAATGAACTGTTGTAAGTTGAGAATTACCTGTATTCAGAAAAGTGTTTTGTTTTATTTTCATGTATACCAGTATTTAGTATCCGAACTTCATACTGAAATGGTACTACCGATGGTCAGGATTATCTGAAAGCAAAAGCAACATTAAAATGCTGCTTTTTTTTTTGCCAGAATTTGATTAAAAAGTAGGAATGTATGGGAATAAAGTTTATGGATTTCATTAAAGAAAAACAACTATCCTTCCAAGACTATCAAGAGAATCTGACTGGGAAACATGGGTTGGAAAAGATCTATAGTTTAAACCCTGGAGCAGTGACCCATATGAAGACTGCAGTGGGCAGATCTTTGTGTATACAACCTCATTGTTTCCTGCTGTAAAGAAAAGAATCCAGCTGAGTTATGTCTATGTAGCCTTCTGTTGAGCAAACCAGTTCCTGAAAAAGCATTTAACATTTTTGGAGAGATAAGATTTATTGCTGACACCTGCTACCACAGAGGGCTGTCTCTTCTTTCTACTCTTATTGTATGAACTGAATATACACTAGCGTGATAATTGAGCGTAATCTGCCAGGGTTCTCTTTATGTTCTTGCCAATCTGGGCAATGCAAGATTTCTCCATGATCTTGAACTTCTGAGGATCATAGGTAGCCGTCTTTCTTTTTGGAATTGCCTGTTTCGTCAGTAAGCAAAGGAATCTTGCAACATGTCTGGGTTTTTAAAAGCAACTTGTATATATCCACAGAGAATTGTTTCTGCCATCTCTTTTAAAATTTCTAGATTGTTAATACATCCACTTACGCCATTTTTTTTCTGAACAGGTAGGCATCCTTCAAAACCAGGCTACTATCAGCCACCATTTTTACTATTCAAAAAGTGAATGTGGAATATCTCTACAAATCTTGTAAATAAAAATGATACTAGTGCTTTATAGTACTTGATTCCCAATTTTTAGAATAAATTGATTATTTTTGGTAAGGTAGGGAGTCTGACTGGTGTCGAGAGGTTTCCTTGTTAGCTACAGATACAACATTTCCTTACTTAACCTAGTCATTCTGGTTTGGAATAAGGCAAAAAGAAAAAAACAACAGACACAACAAAGAAGATCAACATTTTCTTTTAATACATATCCTGAACCCTTCATCTGCTTTCCTGTTTGCATATATAGTATCAAGAGGAAAAAAAAACCCTTAAACAGTGAATCTTTGATGAAAGTGCCTTCTTCCAAAAAGCAACAAACAGCTAATGTTAAGTAAGCAAAAAATTGGCAGAGTTATTAAAGCAAAAACAAAGCCAGTATCTTAGAACAAGCTTTCATAACAAACTTGGTAACAAACTGAAACTTATTTCCAAATTTAAAACTGTTCTTACTGATGATATTTGGAAAGGAAATAAATGTTTCAGGCAACTAAACAAGCATTTTAAATCATGTTTTCAATGTACTGTGTCCAACATGGTTGATATTACAGTTCATAGAATATAACTATAAAGGTGAAATTATCTGAAAAGGAAAATAAATCTTCCATTTTGCAAAAGGCAGGGTCTACATTGTCTCCTTTAAATGTGTTCTAGTTTGAATGTTTAAACTGATCTAATAGAATCTGTTCCACAGTTTTCACTTGTATCCAGGCATTCAGACTTTGGTAGATTCATTGATTTCTCATTAGTTCTAAAACAGACATCTGAATATGGATTAGAGTATTGGACTAACCCTCCCCCCCAAGGGTGTGAGTGTGTGTATTCATAGTTCACCAACAGATCATATGTATTTGCAGGGTAGACCTTTATATAAAGAAGCAATCACATTAACTTCCTGGTAAGATAATTTATGGCTGCAATTTTCATTGCCTTGGCTGAAGAGCAGGCAGCTAGAGGTCATAACCATTTTGTGCCTTCCAGATATTCTGCTGAATGTCAGGAACAAAATAGTGATAGCTATAATTTGCCTCATTGGGGGTGGGGGGTGGGGTTAAAAGATAAGGAGAAAAAATGTGTATAAAAGCTCTGGGAAGGCATTAAGACCAACAATCACACCTTAATTGCTTCAAAATTATTGGGTGATTACTTCCTTGTGATGGGGTAATAAGGGGAAAAATCTGTAGGCCTCTTTGAAGCTTAATACTTAATATCTCCCAGTGTAAATTGTGACAAATATTTTGGACCACCCACTTAAGTGATATCATATATTCACCGTTTATGCTTTCTGCAATCTTTAGAGACTAAGAAAGTTGTTTTCCACTGTGTTTTATATGTAAAGAGAAATACAAACTTAGAAATAAAATTGCTTGGTCTATGTTTTGAAGAGCCCAGCACCCCTATGTCTTCTCTTTGTATCACTATGTATATGGCAAACCTTTGACAGTCAAGTAGTGTCAATAGCATGACTTATATATTAGAAAATCAATTACTTTGTACCGATATTCAAATAAAATGTGCATATTTTGATCATCATATGAAGATACTAAAATATAAAAGGAAATACAATGCAGCAGTCTTTTGAGAGACTGCTCAAAGAGATCTGGATGTAATAAAAGAATGTATACATTACAAAAGAAAATAATATTTAAAATGAATAAGTTGTGTAGCAATATGAATACTTCAACTCACTAAGTTATAATTAGGTTGATAAAGCATTGTATTAAAAAAAACATTGAGTTCGAAGGAAGCATTAGTGTAATTGATCAAGCTTGTTTTAATTTAACAATGTTGAAGTATTTGTTTTAGAAAGGAAATCTGAGTCTTGAAATAGACAACATTAATTTGGACAGTTTTATGAGTTCGGAAGAAGGACTAGGAAATTGCACAGGAAGAACTGGAACTGGAGTAATAGAAATGGAATGAAATGACGTCCTGCCAAGTAGAAGGCTATGAACTTGGAATGATAAGCGACATTTTTTGTGTGGGCTGAGAATTCAGCTGGAAGTAACTAAATAAAGAACCAGGAATGACTGAGCTATTGATGTAATGTAGCTGGAAAACCAAAATCAGTTTTGGATTGATTACAGGTAGTTCTCGACTTACAACCACAATTGAGCCCAAAATTTCTATTGTTAAGTGAATTTTGCTCCATTTTACGACCTTTCTTGCCACAGTTAAGTGAATCACTGCAATTGTTACATTAGTAACACGGTTGTTAAGTGAACCTGACTTGGCCACTGACTTTCCTTGTCAGAAGGTTGCAAAAAGATGATCACATGACATCAGGGCTCTGCAACGGTCATAAATATGAATCAGATGCCAAGCATCTGAATTTTAATCACGTCACCATGGAGATGCCACAATTGTCATAAGTGTGAAAAAACAGTCATAAGTCACATCTTTCCATGAATGGTCACTAAGCGAACTGTTGCAAGTCAAGGATTACCTGTATTTAAAAATATCCAGTTAATACAGTTAAAAAGTGGACTACTGTCAGGTAAGCCAGTATTGTTGAGAGAAAAAAAGGGTAGGGTTGGGCAGAATTGGGAACCAGTCCTAAGAGCACAGCTTAAAACTCTTTCAAATCTAAGCAATCTTGCTGTGTAACAAAATTGTATTCAATAAGCCACTTCCCAGGAGCTTTTGTTAGCTGGAAAGATATGGGAATCTTTTCCCTGTGTAAGATACTCCTTTCCATCAAAATTTGCTTCATGAAATTCGGGGATCCTTTAGAACTTACTAGCTTATTTGAACATAAACAGATAGTCTTCAGCACTGTTGGGATAAATTATAGACTATTTTGATAACCCCTGTTGGTTTTTTAACCTGCCTCAAACAATAATCAAACTATCTTCATAGTGTAAAAATTGCCTCCAGTTCACAAAGCCAAAGGAGAGATGTACTGTAGGTTTCACTGATTTTGTAAGGTCTCTGTAAACTACTTCTGACAAGTCACATTTGGAAAAGCAGAAGTTCCCAAAGGAGCACACTCCTAAAGAAATAATGTTCCAATAGATAGGATCTTAAAGACTGATAAAATTAAAAGCAGATCTTCTCTCAGTGGAGAATCTGGAAAAGCATTTCTTCTTTGTTTCTTTACATCCTCTATTTTTCAAACATCTGTAGCCAGCAACCTTACATATGACACTTGAAACCCACTTTAAAAACATGTAACTAAAATCTGTTGAGTGATTTAAGTTTGGAAGGAGTGCTTTCTATCATTTGAATCTGGTATCCGAAAGCCTCAACACGTGATTTCTTAAAAGTGTGTCGGTATAAGGATACTCTGTAGGATTTTACTCAGAAATCATTTTAAATATACAGTTCGATTGAACTGAATTTCAGTCAAAAG